TACAAAACTTCATAACAAGACTTTTTGTAGGCTGTGATTTTTTCATAATCGAAAACAGTGAATTGTGATTTGATAAATCAAGAACATGTATATTTCCGTATAGTTTCATCATTTTTTAGTTATTTGATTAGTTGATAATTAAAGGGTATTCTGGAATCCAAAATATTACTCATCATGTGCAGTCATTTGTTTGGAGCTTGGAAGTGGCGTGATTTATCAAAAAAGATTTGRAATCAAAACAATACTATAGGAATAGCGGCTCTATTTTCAATGGCATAAACGTTTCAGTTCCATGCAAACGATTTAGACTTTATTACATATCAAGCCCATAAACAGCCTGATTTTCCAGCAGTCAATTACTTTACTCAATTACTATTGTTTGCAAGCAACTGCAGGGCTTTTGCAAATTTTTACTGTTTGTTTTTATGGTCGTCGTGCTAAAAGACCTTTTTCTTACGTGTATTCTTACACCGATTGGTAAAAGGTTTTCCTCATAAAGAATTAAATTTATCCTTGCCCACATTTATTCTTACTAGTAGCAATCGAATTCTCGTGAAAGTTTGCAATCAATTTGTGACCACAACTGTTTTGTCACAATTACTCTATTCACTAATCTACCCATACCTTATCTATGGTGTAGTGGTATGGGGTCACACTTATGAAACTACTCTAAATCCTCTAATCATTTTACACTAAACAAACTTACTCCCTCCCCAGGGCTTTTATTAGATTTTCAGAAGTGCTGGAATGCAATTGACGATTCAATAAAAAAGCTTAAGACGAAAACATCATTTCGTGAGAAGCTGAGTGGTGTTTTGCTTAGCTCATATTAGATCATACATTAAATTTATTTTTGTTTTATTTTGTTCTTCTTATGTTATTTGATATGCTTAAATTTTGTCTTCTCTTGTCAGTTTGTAATTGTTATGTTTTTATTTATATATTATTATTTATTCTATTTATTATTATCCTTATAAGACCCAATTTATACTATTCTTAATGCAAATAGCAGCTGTCTATCTTGGTTAGCTATAACAGTTATTATAGACAGCTTGTACCCTTAAATCTGTTTAATCTTATATTTTAAAATTACAATTGTAATTAAGGTACTAATAATTAAAATTGATTGATTGATATGATTTATCATAACAGGGGAAATTTGTGGATATGAAAACTTGTTATCGGGCATATGTCAAGCTTTGAAACAACTCTCGACTAGACGCACGAAACAATGTCTAAAGTGGGGCGACAACCAGACGTCTCAACGTAAACTGGTAACATCCCGCGCATTTAATATTTTTCAAATTGCCCTATAACACTATGACGTCACAAGTTGTTTACCAAAATGCATTCTGGGTGCTAGAGGGGGACAACAAGGCAGAAAAGTATAAGTAGATCTAAGTAGCTCAGAGAAAAAATGCCGAAAGTGAACTGTTGCGTGCAGTTATGCACATCATCTTCCAAAAGAACACCAAACCTGTCATTCTACAGGCTTTCCAAAGATAAGGAAAAAAGAAATCGGTGGGATGTACTGTGTAATAATGCTAACTTGAAAACGAAATCGGCTTGGACAAGCATTTGTTGTCTTCACTTCCCTGGTGGTTTTAAGAGCCATAACGACGAACTATCAGTTTTCCCCTCGAGTAAAGAATGGAAAACTGTTATAGGAAGTTACAATGACTCGCTTAAACAGTGGAAAAGTAAAGAGTCATGTAATGTTCAATCAAGGGAGCTCCAAGAAACAAATAAGCTSCCATTAGTAAGCAAGAATGACGCAAAAGCACGCTCCACAGCTTCTATAACCAAAMGAACCCGTGTTGCTGAAACGTCTGTACAAAATGACGAGAAGGTTAGCTTGTTAATTTTTTTCAAGAAGCAGCTCCCAGAAATATCTGATTTTAACCACGACCTATATGTGTAGGCTGAAGACAAGATTTGTTGCCGTTGACAGATCAAGAGCCAGACGACCAACAAAAACATCACGTAAGCTTCTCTTCATAGTTCCAACATTTTATTATCCTATTGTTATTATCCTATTGTATTATACAGTTATTATATTATACTTATTTTTGATATGCTTTATTATGGCTCAAATTCTATATTCTTTAGTAGGAAGAAAATGTTCAAAATTTATGCATTGTCATAATAATGAAATCCCTGATTTTGTTTTCATGTAGTGCCAATGTACAATAATGTTGCTGTGGTTTTACTACTTGTGTACTAATTTCAGTGCATTTAAATTTTTTCTAGTGTTAACATCTGAAGTGGAACTTGATTGTAAATATTTTACAATATTCTGATGGTTAGAAATAAATATTGATTGATTGATGGATTGATTGATTGATTGAAGTGGATGCAGCTTGTGGTATGAATTGGGTCACATATTTTTTTCCAGATTCATGACCCTCCTGGACGAAACGTATATGAGGACACCAGCTTAACAACTCAAGATGAATTACAAGGGATTTTAACACATATTCGGCTATTACTACATGATGAGAGTATGAATAACAGTCTGAGTAAAGAAGAACTGATAAACCTATTGAGAACAGCAACAAAGCTGCTAAATTCAGTGAAAGAGCAATGTGATACCATTGTATACCTAAGAGAGTAGTATTTACATTCAATAGAAATGAAGGGTCAGACACGCAGATTAGATTCTGGACAGGGTTTTATAGTTCCAACATCTTAGTGGCAATTTTTACAAATCTTCTGGAACCACATGTGAATGCCCTTCATTACTGGGATTCTAACAACTCTGCTAAAAAAGACGCTGATCCTGAGAAATGTGGACGAAAGCGGCAATTGCAGCCTATTGATGAAATGTTTTTGACCCTTGTTAAGCAAGAATCAGCTAATGAAGCCCTTGATGAAAGATTCAACCTGTCAGCTATGGATGCCAGTAGAATATTTATGACATGGGTACACTTCATGCATACAGTTCTCAACTCCATCGAAATTTGGCTTTCTAAGTCAAAAATCAGAAAGTACTTGCCAGATTGCTTTAAGGGTCTCTACAATGATGTTCGAGTCATCATAGATTGTACCGAAATTCCCCTGGAAAAACCGTCTGACTTTGAATGTCAAGCAGCCACATTCTCAATGTATGAACACTGTAATACAGTAAAAGCTTTGGTTGGAATCAGCCCATCAGGTATTCCCACATTTATTTCAGATGCATATGAAGGAAGCATCAGCGATAACGAAATAACCCTGAAGTCAGGACTAATTGAGAAACGTGAAGCAAATGATGCCATTATGGCTGACAGAGGATTTACAGGAATAGACACTCTTAATAAACATAAGATCAGGCTAACAACACCGCACTTTCTCTCTGGGAAAGCACAAATGGATGTATCCAATCTGGTATAGTCAGCACAGGAAGCCCAATCTCATATAACAGGACGGTTCATAAGGAAATGTATGGGAAATTACTCTCTAGCTTATAACTCTGTGAAAAATAAAGAAAATAAATCCAAACCTTCATGTGGTGTTCCTTATGTTTTTATTGTTGTTTGGTGGCGATTTCAGGACGATTTGGTGGATTTTAGCTGAGTTCTCCCCTCACTACTAAGAAGAAGGGAAGGAAGGAGACCTCCATTAGGCCAACGGACCGAGCCGCTCTCGAAAATCCATCGATTCACAGACTAAAACGCGTCCCCTTGCTTCGATACTCACTAATCCAAAAATATCATGTAACCGGCGGCAAGGCGCTCAGCTATGAATCAGATTGCAAGTGGTTTTGACAAAAGAATTTATTGAAAAATTCACACAACTTTACAATAC